ACCTAACTAGGAGTCGAAGACAAGCCGCAGAATATAACTATCGCCGTAATCTGATTATCGAGAGCGAGCACACTAACTAATCACCAGGTGGGATTATACATAATTAATCCAACTCAAGAAAAAGCGAAATAAAAGATTTATTCAAATACACAAGCGAAGTTAATCAAAGTGGAGACGCCCGCCGATCCTAGGATCTCATCCTTCAGTCGACTGAGACCCCCAAAATTTCCGTGCCTTCCCGGAGGCACAACAGGAGCTAACTTCAAAAATAGATCGTTGGAGATAGAGATTTTGAATTGACAAAAGCACGTGTTGTAAAAGTGTAAAATTTGTCCAAATAATCGGTATAAAAGACATATCTAAATTAAAGCTTTAAATGTCGTTTCGTTTGTTTTCACAGAGAAATGCAGCTGAGTTTTTGATTTAAAAAGAAAAACCCGATCCAAAAGTAGATAATAAAACCACATACATATATAGTGTACAACATATTTGAAATACCCCGAATGGGTCTCCACCTTGGCGTGGAGGAGGGGCTTAAGGTCACGTCCGGATTCACCCTCAGAGGTGACTTCGAGCGCGACCGACGAAGAGGGACTCTCAAGCTAAGGTGTTAGCGACCGGGCCGAGAGCTGCCATGGCGCAGGAGGAGTGCGTTTTCAAAGGGTGCTTCCCGGATACCGAGCGAAATCCGGAAGTGGGCAGCTAAGCCTTTCGCGACACTCGTGGGAACAAAATGGACACAAATAAAACAATAAGAATAACACAATGCAAAAAGTCTTCCAGGGCGTGGCTTCCTTAGGAAGCGAACGAACGGAGAAGTTTCTATTGTGGGGGGGGTTCCTCTGGGGCCCACCCGAAAAACCGTCCTCGCTATAGCGGCGCCGCCAGACAACGCTATAAAAAACGAAGCAGCTTCAGGAGGAGAAGCTGGTTCCTGGAACTAAGGCAACTCCTTCTGGGGCTGCTTCAAATTCAAATTCCGAGAGGGCAGGAGGATCGGAGCAGGCCAGGGCGAGCAAAGGCTCAGACCGTGCTTTCGAATACTCTAGCCCCTCAGATAAACCCCCTGACAAGAGGCCCGGATCAAAGATCAGGGGTCTTTTGTTCAGGCTATAAAAGAAATTGTCAGGTGGCTGTCGTTGGAGATGGCTTCCTGACAAAAAGCTGGGTGACGGGGAGGTGGCGGAGATCAGGAAGCTGATCAGGGTCGCATCATAGCGCTCCAGAAAGGCACCAAAGCTTCCACTTCACCGACTCCTGGATCAGGGATGGGGCGCTCATTTTTGTCAAGAAGGCGATTAAACTCCTGACAGACAGAATGTGGGCCTTGCTCCTGGGGATTGGGTGGTCTCAGATAGGAATGAAAGTAGGGATGCTTCGAGCTCCAACTTCACCTGCTTGGTGACTGCGCAATCGCTGGAGGCACTCAAGGCCTGCAATTTCAGGCCGTTCTGTGGCTCCACCCGAGCGACTGTCAAGCTGCTCGAAAGGAACACAGAGAGGGACCTGCTGTTGCAGAGACGTCAAATTAGACCCCATCTACTCTATGGTGGGGCCTAAAGTTCGTGTAACTCAGATTAACTTGCATTATAGCAAGTGCGCCTCGGCGATCTTAGCCAGGAGCATGGCTGTGATGCAAACAGGTATCGCACTAATTCAGGAGCCTTAGCTCCTTAAAGATGCTATCAAAAGTTTGAGTGGTTGTGGTAAAATTTGCTACACTCACAAACCGCAAACTAGAACTTATATTGCCGTCAAGGGTCTAAATGCAACTTTATGCCACAGCTTAGCTGCGAGGAAACTGACGGTAGTCCAAATAAGACTTGATCTCTCGATGGAGATATCCTTGACGTTCTAGTGGGCTCAGCTTATATGCCCTACGATTCCGAGAACCTACCACCTCAGGACAAAGTTAAGAACCTGATGCGCAGGAACGTGGGCTCGAACTTCTACTTAGTTGCGATGCTAACTCTCACCACGTTAGGTGGGAGAGTTCGGGCGTCAACTCCAGGGACAAGAGCCTACACGACTTTATCATGAGCACCAATCTCATCATTCTTATAGAGGTGCAGAATTTACCTTCCAGGACTCCAGAAGACAGGAGGTAATAGACATCACGCTGTGTACGGAGATGGTGGCTGGTCTGGTGACAAACTGGAGGGTCTCAAATGAACCTTCAAGATTCGACCACAGACGATTTGCCTATCTCTCTGTCACTTACCGGTACATAAATGGACGAGACATCCGAGGAGAAACGATTGGGAAGGCTATAAGGCCACCTTATCGGCAAACCTTAAATCGGTTCCAAATAAATTTATAACAAAGGTGATCTGGATACAGCGACACTTTTTATGAAGGGCGCCATTACAGATGCCTATGAAAACTAACTATCCGTTAAGGAAGAGTTCTTCTCAAGAGTTCCATGGTGAAACAAAGAGCTTTCGAAGCTTAGGTCAAGGACCAGGAAACTTTTCAACAAAGCTAGGAAATCTGGCTCTGCGGCCTGTTGGGCAGGTTTTAAGATCGCCCAGCGGGAATACAGCAGGGCCATCACTTCAGCCAAAAGACGCTGCTAGAAGAATTTTTGCGAAAGCATTGAAAGTCTTCCTGAAGTGTCCAGGCTCAATAAAATTCTGAATTCCGATAGCTGCTCGCCAATGGGCTATCTCAAGCACTCTGACGGGCACTACACGGAAAGTTTCACTGAATCTCTCACTCTCTTATGGAGACTCACTTTCCAGGTTTTCAACCTCTTACGACAAAACACTCTTTGCCCCTTATGCCCACACCTAGGGTAGGTTATGTACCTAAGGAATGCACTAGCGGCAAGAGTGGTGTACCCGGAGGGTGTAATATGGGCGGTTTGCTCCTTTGACCCCTATAAGGTACCGGAGTTGAACGGCATCTATCCCATTCTCCTGCAAAAAGGGCTAGACCTCCTAATAGGCCCCCTCACCAAATTCTCAGAGCAAGCATAGCACTGAGACACATTCCACCGGCGTGGAGCGACATTAAAGTCTGCTTCATTCCCAAACCAGGGAGAAACGGCCATATTCTGACAAAAGACTTCAGACCCATTAGCCTCACTTTATTCATATTGAAGACATTAGAAGAACTGGTTAAGAGTTTTATTAAACAGGGCCCCTTGCTCATAAGCCCCTGTCTTCATGTCAATACGCCTACAGGGAGGGAAGATCCACAGACACAGCCCTACATCATTTTGTGGGCAGCATTGAAACGCAACTTACGGCCAAAGGCTACGCCCTGAAGGTCTTTCTAGGCATTATGGGAGCTTTTGATAGCACCTCTTACCCAGTGATTGAGAAAGCCATGGTCGATCATGACATTCCAGTTGCTATTATCGACTGGACCCTTAGCATGCTAACGGGAAGAATTCTTACTGTCAATCAAGGAAATTTGACTTTAAAAAGTTCCCCACAAAAGGCTGCCCGCAGGGGGAGTCCTGTCTCCACTCTTGTGATGCCTAGTGGTGGATAAACTCTTAGTCAATTTAGGGAAAACCAGTCTTTGGGTGTTTGGCTACGCGGACGACGTGGCCATTATACTGAGGGCGGTTTTCTTTTCATTCTCAAGGAGCTTATGGACAAAGCACTCAAAAAGGTACAAGACTGGTGCACGGCCAAAGAGCTTACGGCTAATCCAAAAAAGACCAAAGCCATTATCTTCACCAGGAAGTATAAGTTAGAGCACATTGACCCATTGAAGCTCTGGAATACTGAAATACAGTATGCCACCTCCATTAAATATTTGGGAGTCTACCTTGACCCCAAATTGAACTAGAGTTATCATCTTGAAACTAAGAGAAAAATTTTACATTTTATTTTGGACATGCAGGAGGAGCAACTTGGGGCATCAGGCCTAAAGTTGCCCTCTGGATATACAAAGCTATTCTGTTGCCTAGATTGATGTACGCTGCGGTGGTCTGGTGGCCGAGGGTTGAAAAGATGGAGGCAAGGAACCTACTGAAAAGCCTACAGGGTAGTTACCTAAGGTTGGCAGTAGGGGCCATGAAAACCATACTAACGGAGGCGCTGGAGGTGGCTCTCTGTATTCCTCCACTCGGTCAAAGAATCATCTGTGGAGCCAAAGTTACGGCCTACAGGCTCTATTGCCAAAAAGAATGAAAGTGCGCCAGCCCTAGTCATACAAGGCTGGACTTCCTCTTCAAACCTCCCTTTTCTTTGAAACAGGACTGTTGAGAAACAGACAAATAATTTTGAATGGTAATTTCGTGTTAAATTAAATGTAAGTAAAAATAAGCGTTAGAGGTAAGAACCCGCTTTTTCAAAACAAACTTGTTATTCCCCGCCAGCGAGGCAAGGACAGCAGTTATCAATATTGATCGGTATGAGTCATCAGCCTTTGACCGCGTGATTTTGGTTCCTTCGCTCGGTCGGAAATCAATACCGGCCAATCGTGAGTCTTCGCAAAAACGAGCGTCCCCTCCAAGAGGTTCGTGTCGAGATCTCGCGCCTCTGCGAAGAACGCCCCGACTCTAAGCGTTCTCTTCTTCGTCAAACTGTAAAGTTAGCGACACCGAAAATCAGAACGACTACAGATCGGTTGAGTAATTTCGGAAATGACTTCTAAGACTGAACGTGCACTCGATAAATAAACTAATTTGTGATACTGCATTAGGAGTGTTATCTCTCGAAAGTCCTCTTGTCATCGCAAATACTTGGTCTCGCTGAAAACTACCGGTGCTCGCTACGACGGTTCCGTGTTGCCTGACCACGCGTGTCACGATCGGCAATCTCACGGATCCAAGGGTGGCTCGCTCTCTGTCGCCCTCTCAATCAGCTGCTCAGTCCTTCACGCTCTTTCTGAGCGAGACCGGCGTCCGCGGTCAACGCGAAGAAAAAAAAAGGGGAAACCCACTTCGCGTACGCAACATTGTTGGTCCTTCGAGCCGGATCGAAGGAATTGTGTAAGCTCAACGACCTTGAAAGTGACCACTGTGACGGAGATCTGACAACATCATGAGTAAGCAGTTGCTTGCCAAGCAGCAGTCACAACTGCACTCGGTGGCGCGAGCTCTTCCGAATTTTAAAAAACTCGGAAAGAACAATTATACGCCAGCGCTAATTCGATCGCGACTGACGGGACTGAAAGAAGCTTGGGCGCTGTGCACGGCCTCTCACGCTGCGCTGGTACATGTCTTCCCAGGGGCCAAACGGAAGGACGTCGGCTACTTCGACAATGCGGAGTTCGAGGAACACGAGGAGATCTTCCAGAGGACGGCGAACTACATGACGGAATGCCTCGAAGAATTGGAGCCTCCTCTCAACTCAACTCCATTGGCAAGTCCACCGGCGTTCGGTAATCCCTCCGCGTTACTCTCCTTGTCGCACCTACCGTCTATCAATATACCCCTGTTTTCGGGAACCCATAAGGACTGGGAGAGTTTTCGCGATCGATTCACGTCGCTCATAATTAAAAATACAGAGTTAACTGCATTTTCCCGCATGCATTACTTAGCGTCTAGTCTCTCCGGGCGTGCTCTGGAATCGATACAAACTGTCCCAGTCACCGCCGACAATTTTGAAGTCGCTTGGCGATTGCTAGTTTCGCACTACGATAACAAACGGCGACTGGTCGGCGTGCATGTCTCCGCGCTATGCAACCTGCCGGCCGTCACGCGCGAATCGGCCGTCGAGCTTAGCGAACTCCAGGATAAAGCCAATCGAGCTATTGCGTCGCTCAGAAATCTCCACCGTTCGTCAGACGAAATTTTAAGTGATGTCCTAGTTTATCTCGTCACTCAGCGGCTTGATCACGCCACGCACAAGGCGTGGCGATTGAAAGGAGGCGATGATGCCGCGACTCCAACATTCGAGGACTTAGATAGATTTATCTCCGCGCGCGTGCGAGCCTTGGAAGAACTCACGCCTCATAACGCGGCTAAGTCCACACGTCCGTCAAGATCCGCTTCCGTGAACGCCGCTACCACGTCTCCAGTCTCGTGTCCGATTTGTAAAGCGAGTCATTACTTGAGTAAGTGTCCGCAATTTATTAAGAAAGGTCCGAGTCAACGCATGGAGTTTATCAAACAGCACCAAAGGTGCATTAATTGTCTCAGTGCGAAACACGCCTTGTATTCATGCCCAAGCCAATACACTTGTCGCCGATGCCAGAAAAGGCATCATTCGATGCTCCATGTTGATTCAGGCTCATGCGCTACCGCCTCGGTAGTCACTGCTGAATCGACTCCGCCGGTCAAAGCGAGAGGTAATCGCGGCGCGGTGGCGTTGTTTGCTTCGCAAGAATTATCGCATCGAACTCCGGTACTCCTTGCGACGGCGCGAGTCACGGTTCGTTCACCGGCGGGTCGCGACGCGAACGTCCGAGCGTTGCTCGATCCGGGATCGGAGATAACCTTCATGTCCGCTCGGCTTGCGCAAACCTTAAGACTGCGTCGTTTCCAAGATCAGTTTTCACTCTCTGCCATCTGCGGTCTTAAAGCGGGTAACTGCAAGTTTGCAGCTCAAATTACGATCTTGCCGCAAAATAAATCTGAGCCGAGTCTCACAATCACTGCGTCGATTTTGCCTTCACTCGCTGATTACAATTCGGGGCTCGATCGAGCCAGGTGCAACTGGGATCATCTCGCGGATCTCGCTCTAGCAGATCCTCACTTCAATGGTTCTAATCCCATTGAGCTCCTCATCGGCGCCGATATCTATGGCGAGATATTCCTTGGCGAAATGCGGAAGGGACCTCGCGGGCAGCCCTATGCATTAAATACCATTTTTGGATGGGCAGTATCCGGCCCTACAAGTGTGTCAATTCAATCCCGCCGAACAATCACTGTTCAACATTGTTCGGCCTCAACGTCGCTTGCGCTCGATCGCGAACTGAGAAGATTTTGGGAGATCGAGGAAGTTCCGCGACAGACTGTACTCGGCCCGGAGGAACAACGATGCGAGGATTACTTCATGACCACTCATTCGCGTTGTTCCGACGGCCGATACATTGTGCGCCTTCCATTTAAACGTGATCCTCCCATTAATGTCGGTCGTTCTCGCGATACTGCTGAGCGATGTCTAAAAAGCTTACTTCGACGCTTTGAAATTAACGCCGAGCTAAAACAACAATATTTCAATTTCATGCGGGAATACGAAGCTCTGGGACACATGCGAAAAGCCTCACCTCTCAGAATCCTCTCAGTGCGTGTATATTCCTCACCATCCCGTCTTTCGCGACGGTAGTGCGACACGCACTTGCGCGTGGTATTCAATGCGTCGAGTCTAACGTCAAGCGGGAAATCGCTTAATGATAATTTGCTTCCAGGACCGAAACTACAAACGGACTTGGCGGCGGTCGTGATGCGATGGCGACAGTTTCGCTACGTATACTCGGCCGATGTCGAGAAAATGTATAGGCAGATCGTCGTTGATCCGCGTGACACAGATTATCAACGCATATTATGGGTGGATACCGAGACGGAGCGCATGCAAGATTATAAGCTCTTGACCGTGACGTACGGTATGGCGTCGGCGCCGTTTTTGGCGTTACGAGTGCTGCGCCAACTGGTCCGCGATGAAGGGCATTCCTATCCGTTAGCCGTGTCCGTCCTGACGGATAACATTTATGTTGACGACGTCTTGTTCGGCGCCGACGATATCCCTCTGTTTCGGCAGGCGCGCGAGCAAGTATGCTCACTGCTGCGCTGCGGCCAATTCAATTTGCGCAAGTGGTCCAGTAACTCGTCGGCTCTTCTGAGCGACATTGATGACAGCGATCACGGTTTGGCCTGCAGCAAGGACCTTCAACCAGGCGAAAAGGTTAAAGTCCTCGGGATATGCTGGCACCCCGCTCAGGACGTGTTTCAGTTCCGCATTTCCTGCCCTCCCTCTGTCTCGATAACGAAGAGATCGATTCTCTCGAATATCGCGCAAATATTCAATCCGTTGGGGTGGAGTGCTCTGGTCACAATAACGGCAAAAATCTTTCTTCAGCGACTGTGGCAATCACAGCTCGACTGGGATGACCAATTTCCCACCGATCTCGCTGATGAGTGGGAAGTTATTCGGGCGTCACTCCTGTCACTTGATGGCCTTCAGCTCGATCAATGGGTTCGACGCGGATCGGATACGACGGCCTGCGAGCTGCACGGGTTCGCGGACGCGTTCTCTCAGGCGTATGCAGCCGTGGTTTATCTGAGGCTTCTTTCGATCTCCGGAGAGGTCTCCTCGATGCTCCTCGTCGGAAAGTCTAGGGTCGCGCCCGTTAAGTCACTGAGCATTCCGCTGTTGGAGCTCGCAGCAGCAGTACTGCTCTCCAGATTAATGGAGTTCGTGATCACGTCCCTCCACCTTTCCGAGGTTCCGTGTTACTGCTGGACGAACTCCACGGTCGTCCTTGCGTGGGTTACGCAACATCCGTCAAGGTGGCGAACGTTCGTGGCAAATCGCGTCGCGGAAATTCAGACCCGACTTCCCTCCGCTTCGTGGCGACACGTGCCCACCATCGACAACCCCGCCGACTGCGCGTCTCGCGGAATTTTCGGGCATCAGCTCGCATCCCATCCGTTGTGGTGGCATGGTCCATTGTGGCTTAGGCTTCCGATCTCCGACTGGCCGGTGACTGTCGACCCTCACCCTGAGACCTCAATGGAACAAAATGTAAAGACGCAGGTTCTCGTCGCGATGCCGAGAGACCCTGTCTTGTGGGACCTCGCCGCGCGCCACTCGTCGTGGCCGAAGCTAATGCGCATTACCGCTACGTTATGCGATTTATCTCGCGTACTCGCGGACGTATTACTTTGCCGGCTGGGCGCGTCGAGAGTCCCTCATCCTTGACGGTTTACGAAATTCAACGCGCGACGAACTTTTGGGTAAAAACCATTCAAGCGGAGCTATTCGCGCGCGAGCTGACCGCGCTTCGAAGGGAGACGCGCTCTCGTCAAAAAGCGTACTGTTGCCTCTCGCGCCGTATTTGGACGAAGATCAAATAATTCGTGTTGGTGGGCGGTTGTCGCGGGCGCCCATCCCGGCTCACGTCAAACATCCGATCGTTCTCGCGTCCCATCCTCTCGTCCAGCTCCTCATACAGGATATTCACAGGCGATATCTCCATGCCGGCATCCAGCTTACTCTGGCTACGCTGCGGCGAAGGTACTGGGTGATCCGAGTTCGCGGTGCGGTCAGATCGGTCATCCATCGGTGTGTCGCGTGCACTCGCGAGCGAGCTGCCGTCCCGACACAGCTTATGGGGAACCTCCCGCAATTCAGAGTCTCTCCTCCCGCGCGCGCATTTATTCACTGCGGAATGGATTATGCCGGCCCGATACTAGTTCGAGCGATGTCTGGGCGCGGAGTGGCCTCCCAAAAGGCCTACACCGCCATATTCGTGTGTATGGCAACGCGCGCAGTACATTTGGAGTTGGTCGAGGGGTACGCCACTCCGGCATTTTGGGGGCCTATTCGCGATTCGTGGCTCGACGGGGTCTTCCGACGGCGGTGTACTCCGATAACGGGACCACCTTCGTCGGAGCGGACCGCGAACTCACAGTCGCGTTTAGAGCGGCTCTTCGCGATCCCGTGTTTTTGAACAGGACGGCTTCGGACAATGTCGAGTGGCATTTTCTGCCTCCCTCAGCCCCTTATTTTGGCGGCCTATGGGAGGCCGGTGTACGAAGCGTGAAGCACCACATTCGCAGGGTGGTCGGAGCGCACACGCTGACGTTCGAGAAGTTCTCCACGTTCTTTGTAACGTCGAGGCATGCCTCAACTCTAGGCCCATAGCACCGCTCTCCGACTCGATAGATACATACGATCCGCTGGACCCCGGGCATTCCTCATTGTGCTGCTCTTAACTCGAGTTCCGGAGCCTTCCGTGTGTACAAGTAAAAAAAAATCGCCTTTCTCGATGGCAATTGGTTCGGCAGCTCACCGAGCGTTTTTGGAAGTTGTGGCAGAGCGATTATATTAACATGGTAATTTCATGTTAAATTAAGTGTAAGTAAAAATAAGCGTTACAGGAAGAACCCGTTTTCAAAACAAACTTGTTATTCCCCGCCAGTGAGGCCAGGACAGCAGTTATCAATATTGATCGGTATGAGCCATCAGGCCTTTGACCGCGTGATTTTGGTTTCCTTACTCGGTCGGAAATCAATACGGCCAATCGTGAGTCTTCGCAAAAACGAGCGTCCCCTCCAAGAGGTTCGTGTCGAGATCTCGCGCCTCTGCGAAGAACGCCCCGAATCTAAGCGTTCTCTTCTTCGTCAAACTGTAAGTTAGCGACACCGAAAATCAGAACGACTACAGATCGGTTGAGTAATTTCGGAAATGACTTCTAAGACTGAACGTGCACTCGATAAATAAACTAATTTGTGATACTGCATTAAGAGTGTTATCTCTCGAAAGTCCTCTTGTCATCGCAAATACTTGTCTCGCTGATGAATTGGAAAACTACCGGTGCTCGCTACGACGGTTTCCGTGTTGCTGACACGCGTGTCACGATCGGCAATCTCACGGATCCAAGGGTGGCTCGCTCTCTGTCGCCCTCTCAATCAGCTGCTCAGTCCTTCGCGCTCTTTCTGAGCGAGACCGGCGTCCGCGGTCAACGCAAAGAAAAAAAAAGGGGAAACCCACTTCGCGTACGCAACAAGAACAAAATCACCAGGAGACCCCATCCAAAGAGAACTTTAAGATCTCTATACCGGATAGAG